ACCAAGGTTTGCTGCCCTCAACCTGTGTCTTTGTTCCTATGCTAGGGAACAGGGCAGCACGTTGATGCCACCAGTTCTTTTTGTCCCTGGGGAGGCTGAGCTGCCACTCCCAAAGGAGCTCCAAGCAGGGAGACTGTTTCTCTCCATGGAACCCAGGGGATTCTCAGACCACACTGCCCACTCCAGGGTCTCCACCCTCTTTTCCCACAGGAGCACCCCTAAGCCCACTAGGAATGACCCTGGCGATGGCAAAAACATCTAAAACTTCAGACTTGGTGCTCCACTGTTTAGAATAACTTGTAGTAATCAGCCCCTTTCCTATTCCCAGTCATTGGTTTTGGGGAAGCATTTTTCTTGTGCAGTCCCCTGTGTGCGCTCTCACTCTGTCTCTCTCTTGCCTCTCTCTGTGATCAGGGCTCCTTCCCCTTCCCAGCACCTGCACTTCTTTTCTCCCCCAAATCAACTCTGCAGCTCCTACCTTCTACAGTGTGGCCATTTTGTCTCCCACTAGTTGTGCAGTTTTGCTGTCTCAGTCCTCAAATCGATTTCTTGCGTGTCAGAATGATACGGTATTTATCTAGCTGTGTTCAAGGGACAAGGCAAGCTTAGGGTCCCCCTACTCCTCTACCATCTTAAGTCCTCTCCTAAAGTGTTAAGATTTTCAAAAATGTTGAAGAGCGCTTGGGAAAATTCTGGGAGGCAGAAATGTATAATTTTTTCCTTGATTTTCACAATAGTTGCATTCCTTGAAAATTCAGTATATTTTAAAACCACGTGTGAAATACTTTATGTGTAGAATGGAGTTGAGTTTGGGCTCAGTAAATTGTAGGCACTTTTTCCCCAAGGGAATGTCCAGGCAGGACATTCAAAGATTATGCGTGTTGGAGGATAATTGTTTGTTGGGCCTGGCTATCCTCTGATTTTTTGCAATATGATAAGCACTTGGGAGGTTCCTATCTACTAAATATGAATGGTACCTCCCCACTTATTGCAACTAACAAAACTGTCTCCTTGGATTTCTAAATCACTATGTAGGAACAATGTTGAGAACTCCTGATGTGAATTAGAAGTCCTTAGATGGATCTCAGTGGTTAGTGTGTTATCTTAAGCTGTCTCCTTTTTTCTGTCTCTCTGTCCTCTGCTTTCTTGTGTTGGCATCATTATTGGATAGTTGCCCCTATTTAAAATGAAAGATGGCTGGTGGTAGCTCCAAGTTTACAAGAACATTACAGCATTCATCCCAGAGGATATGTCCATCTATCACCCTTCAGGGAGGGCACTTGTCTTGGCTTGGGTTTTGTGCCCACACCTCTAGTGGGTAGGGGCAATATTCTTATGCATTTTTTTTGAGTTAAGGATCTACCCCCTGACGCACCCATATGAATATCTAGTTATTTGGAGCATAATTTATTGAATCATCCATCTGATTTAAAATGAAATCTTTATTGTATATACATTTCATACTTACCTGCCTTTGGATTGTCTGTTATGGTCTGTTGATCTTTATGTTCCTTTGCTTGTACCTTACTGATTTACTTTTTATAATTTTATAGTATGATTTGGTATCTACTGGTGAAAGTCCATTTCGTTATTGTCCTTTTCCAAAAATGTCCTGATGCTTCTCTTACATTTACCCTTTCATGTGGATTTCAGATGCAATCTGTCAATCTCTACCCCCTCTCCCATCCCATTGGGATTTTGATTGGTAGTGCATTGGATTTATATATTAACTTGGAGACAGTCGGCATTTTTTATAATATTAAAACTTCTCATCTAGGTCTGCAGCTCATGTCTCAATTTATTTGGTTCTGTTGTGATGTTATTCAGCAAAGTTTTATACTTTCTTTTAACTATTTATTTATTTATTTATTTTTGAAGTTTATTTATTTTGAGAGAGAGAGCATGCCAGAGTGCGTGCAAACTGGGGAGGGGCAGAGAGGGAGAGAGAAAATTCCAAGCAGGCACCATGCTCAGTGGCGAGCCTGACACAGGGCTCGATCACACAACTGAGATGATGACCTGAGCCGAAATCAAGAGTCAATCGCTTGAGCAGCTGAGCCACCCAGGCTCCCCTCTTTTAACTTTTTTTTCTTTTATAGAGAGCATGAGTGGGGCAGAGGGAGAGAGAGAGAGAGAGAGAGAGTGAGAGTGAGAGAGAGTTAGTTCCAAACAGGCCCCACGCTCAGTGCTGAGACCAATGCAGGCCTCAATTCCATAACCATGAGATCATGACCTGAGCTAAAATCAAGAGTTGGACCTTAACCGACTGAGCCATCCAGGCACCCCTTTAACTGATTATTGCTGGAAAGCTTTTTGTTACCCAACCCCTTTGTATTTAATTGATTTCTATTATTAGGTGTAATAGTGTTCATTTTATTTCCTTGATTTCTCTAGATTTGTGGTTGTATCACCCACAGGTACTGTGTTTTTTCCCTATTTATGCCTCATTATTTTTTTATCTTGTGCATTGGCTATGTTATCACAACAAAGTTATCTAATAGTAGACATCCTTGTCTTATTCCTGACTTCACTGGGAGTGCATGTTTATTTGTGAAGCATATATACCTCTGGTTCCTCACATATACATTGGCAGGTTAAGAAAGGTTTATTTTATTCCTAACTTATTAGGGGCTTTTAATGAGGAATGATTAGTGATAGGGGCACCTGGGTGGCTCAGTCGGTTAAGCATCTGACTTCGGCTCAGGTCATGATCTCGTGGTTTGAGAGTTCGAGCCCCATGTCAGGCTCTATGCTCACAGCTCAGAGCCTGGAGCCTGCTTTGGACTGTGTGTCTCTTTCTCTCTGCCCCTCCCCTGCTCACGCTTGGTCTCTCTCAAAAAAAAAAAGAATTAAAAAAAAAAAGGAATGATTAGTGATTTTTATCAAATGCCCTTTGTGATCTTATCAAAGTGACTTTATAGTTTTCACCTTTAAACAATTAATGTATTTTATTAACTAATAGATTTTCTGATGTTGAACCCACACTGCAAGCTTTGAATAAAAACTACTTTGTCAAGAAGCATTAATCTCTTAATACATTATTGGAGTTAATTTGTTCCATTTATTTATTTATTTTGATTTTTGCGGGGCGCCTGGGTGGCGCAGTCGGTTAAGCGTCCGACTTCAGCCAGGTCACGATCTCGCGGTCCGTGAGTTCGAGCCCCGTGTCGGGCTCTGGGCTGATAGCTCAGAGCCTGGAGCCTGTTTCCGATTCTGTGTCTCCCTCTCTCTCTGCCCCTCCCCCGTTCATGCTCTGTCTCTCTCTGTCCCAAAAATAAATAAACGTTGAAAAAAAAAATTTTTTTTTATTTTTGCATCTGTTCATAAGGGGGGGTGGTAATTTTTTGTGTGTTCTTTCTATTACATTTTGGTATCAAGATTTTGTTAGTTTGATAAAATGACCTGGAAAATTTTGCTGTTTTCTTATGCTTAGGAATAGTTTAAATAACATAGGAATTATCTGTTCCTTAAAGGTTTGATAGAAGTTACCTGTAGTTCCGTCTGAGCCTGGCATCTTTTCAGGGACCAGATAGATCTCTTACAACCTTTTCAGATACTTCTGGGGCTAATGGTCTAGGGTGGTGTTTTATTCATCTCTGTTCCCAGGTTTTAGAGTAGTGTCTGTTTTATAGTGGATACTAAATATATTTGTGTTGAATGAGTGGATAATTGGAATTATGTTTCTAAGAGGTATATGTAATACATGCATTAGTAGTAAGTATGACTAAGAGTTTGTGCCAGGTGCTAGTCTGAGTGCATTACAGGTAGTTTTTTGTTTACTCTTCACTATAACCCATGGAGAAGTTACTTTGAGACTCCATTTTACAGTAGAAACTGAGGCATAGAGAGGTTAGGTAAATTGCATGAGGTTATAAGGCCAGTTAAATATTGAAGCCAGAATATTGCAGAAGTGATGATATTTGTATTTGGTAGGATTATATATGTTCAAAAATATATATTATATACATATTATATTTATATATAAATATAATATATATTATATATTTTTTTATATATTATATGTATTTATATATATAAGTATATTATAATATATAAACAAATCTAACAGTATTCTGTAGTCTTCCCAATTTTTTTTAAGAAAAGAATTAGGCATTTCCATATTTTGCTCAGAAACTTTCCTTCCAAAGCATACATACCAATATGTCAGTAAGTAGTACTTGAAAGTTTTTCGTTCACTTTCTTTTTCTTTTCCTTCATGTAAACGTAAATGGAGCACAACATATCTTTGTTGGTCGTATTATCTAGGGTCCTATTATTCTGCCATCTTAGCAGGTGTACCCTGATTGTTCTACATGATTATTACTCCATTGCCATAGTTGTCATTATATGTCACCCTATGTTTTGAAAACACATTACAGTTAGTTATTTTATAGATTTCTTTTTGGTTAGATTTTAGCTTGGTTTCTTCCTGATGATGGTTTGTCCTGTTGATTTGAGAGGAGTATAACTTTTTATTTTGCTCATCAGGTTTTCAACTGGGGGTTTCTGTGGGCTACATCTCAGGCTCCTGTTCATTCCACTGATTCCACTGTAGACAGAGTATTTGTCATTTAAAAAATCAGATCTCAGGGGCGCCTGGGTGGCGCAGTCGGTTAAGCGTCCGACTTCAGCCAGGTCACGATCTCGCGGTCCGTGAGTTCGAGCCCCGCGTCGGGCTCTGGGCTGATGGCTCGGAGCCTGGAGCCTGTTTCCGATTCTGTGTCTCCCTCTCTCTCTGCCCCTCCCCCGTTCATGCTCTGTCTCTCTCTGTCCCAAAAATAAATAAAAAACGTTGAAAAAAAAAATCAGATCTCAGAGATTAATTAGCCTTTGTAGGATTATTCATGTGTTCCTCACACCAATTTAGGGAGTTAGCCTGAAGTGAGATGTTTCCTTTGGCTTTTTCAATGACATGAGTGGAACCTCTTTGCAAATGTAAAGAAGGGTAGATCTCACTTTGTTCATTCATACTGCAGATATTTGTTGAGCATGCCTAAAGTGTGTGCTCTTTCCTCTAATCTGCAGCTTTCAAATGACAGTTTATCCAGTTGTAATCAGGTGCTGAATAGACTAGCTCTTCTTATCTAACCTTAAATGAATCTGACCTGTGCCAGAAGACTAATTTATTAATTTGCTCCTGGGGGTGTTATGTTTCAGTGACTGGAAAACTCATTTCTGCTTGTTAGCATAGTGCTGTCTTTGAATTTCTCTGATAAGAAGAAATCAAAAGCAATTCGGTGGTTGCATGGTATGTGTAGAATAAACAAGGGAGATTGCATAGTCTTCAGGAGAAATTTCATTCAGTGTGAATGAGAAATTCACATTTCATTGTGACAAGTATAAGGAATTATTCACCTTTAAAGATTATTTTTTTAGGATGGCAAAATATTTATACTTGTCAGTTCTTTTCCTTGTCTGTATTAGATCAACACTCACACAATCATACTTTCCAGACTTCCTAGGGATTACTGCCTATTACTTTACATTTATTATAGTAAGACCTGTCTTTTAGTGTGTTGTACTCCTTTAACATTTGTTTTTTTATGGTTACATTTTAGCCTAGTGTTTTGATCAGCTATCTCTGAATCACTTTACAGGGCACATTACTTCTAAGGTTTGCTTCCTTAAAAATAAGTTCTCATGAAGTTAACCCTAGGTTTTGAGACCATAGTTTTCTGACCACTGATCACTACTCACATTTTAAAAATTAGCTTTTTTGGTTATTTAAAAATATTAGGGTGGGGTTTATTATTATTTTTTTTTATTAAAAAGGCAGCATTACCCAGAAATAGCTACAGTTACACCTTGATGCATAATCTTGTGGAACTTTTTAAATATCATACCTATGTCTGTATAACTGAAAAGGAATCATTCTGTACCTATTTTCCTATTTTATAATCCTCTTTTTTTTTTTAATCTTAATAGATTGTGTATGTCATTCAGTATAATTCTGGGCTCCATCTTGGAGTCATTGAATTAATTCAACAAACACTTGTATATTACTTTGCCAAATGTTATTCCAGGTAGTGACTGTACAGTAGTGAACAAAACAGTCAAAAGTTTATTGTCCTTGTGGAGCTTTTAATGGGAAAGTCAGACAAGCAAAATAAGTTAAATCAGTAGACTGCTAAATAGTAGTAAATTCTGTGGGAAAAAAGAGGAAGGGAGATTATGGAGTGTAAAGTTTCAAAAAGCGTAGTCAGCACAAGGCCTTATTGAGAAGGCATTTGAATGGACATAAATGAAGTGAGGTAATGAGCCAGGAATGTGCCCATAAGAAGAGGCCAGTTGGAGCAGAGTAAGTGAGAGGAGGAGTAGGAGGTAAGATCACAGAGAAGTAGGCTGGGTGTGGGGATGGGGAGAAGAGTATTAGATCCTGTAGAGCCTGGCAGACTACCGTAAAGGCTTTTATTCTGAGTGCAGTGGAAACCCATTGGAAAGTTTAGGGCAGAGAAATGACATAGTCTAACTTGTGTCTTAAAATGATCATTCTGACTGCTATGTTGAGAATAGAATGGGGGGCTGCAAAGAGTATAAGGGCAAGGTCAGAAGCAGATAAATCATTTAAGAGGCAGTTGCATTAATGTAAGCTAGAGATGCCAGTGGCTTGGATGAGGGTAGTGAAAAATGGTTGGATTCTAGATATAGTTTGACAATGGGCATAATAGGATTTGCTAACAGATTGGATATGAGGTAAAACAGAGTTAAGGATGACACTAAGGTTTTTGGTCTGAGCAACTCTGGAGTCACTATCAGCGGAGATGGGGAACACGAGGAATGGATTTGGGGGAGAAAATTTAAGAGTTCAGCTTGGGACATGGTAAGTTTAGGTGCTTATTACACATTCAAGTGGTGTTGAGTGGGCAGAAGTCTTGGATGGAGGTAAAATTTGGAAATGTGGCTTGTATATGGTATTTAAAATTATAAAACTGGGTGAAATTTGTCAAAAGAGTCAAGACAGTAAATAGAAGAGCTCAGAGAATTGAGCCCAAGCCTGATGGATTAGAAATTTGGAAGATAAGGAGGAATAAGCAGAGGAGACAGAAAGGACAACCCCAGAACAAGGAGGAAAACCTCGAGAAAGGACAGCTCTGGAAACAAGGTGAAGACTCTTACCTCCTCTTAGCTGTGTCTTCCCTTCTGCACTCTGTGGATTGTTTTTTTTATCATCTGTGGATTAAACACACACATCACACTCCCTCCCATCCCCATTTTAGCTACCTATTACTTTTTTAGTAAGAGAAGATTTTATGTGTTTTTTTTATGTTTATTTATTTTTGAGAGAGAGAGAGAGAGGGACAGAGGAAGAGAGGGAGACAGAGAATCTGAAGCAGGCTCTGCACCGTCAACACAAAGCCTGACGTGGGGCTCAAACCCATGAACCGTGAGATTGTGACCTGAACCGAAGTCGGATGTTCAACCGACTAAGCCACCCAGGTGCCCCAAGATTTTATGTTTTTAACAGCAGAATTCAGTGTAAATATTGCGTGTATCAGCTGAAGATAATCTCCTCACAATAGCTCTTAGACTTGCTGAAGCTACCCTGAGCAGCCTCTCTGTTTCTGCTGCAGAGATATGGAACCAACATCTGACTTCCAGGAAACAAGCAGCCAAGAAAGGGGAATCAGCAGCTCATTAGCTGAAAACATCCCTGGCAACCACAAGCATTTGTGCAGGGTCAGCGTTAGAGCAAGGCACGAGGCTTTCTCTCGAAGTTGATATCTGCTATTTACTTACTGGTTAGTTCAAGCATGCGGTAATTTGCTCTTCTAGTTCTTAGGCAGCAAGGAGGGTATATTATGTATTGCTGTGTAACAGATTATTCAGAATTTAGCAGACACTGTCTCACAGTTTCTGAGGTTCAGAAACTTGGGAGCAGCTTAAGTAAGTGGTTCTAGTAAAGGGTTTCATGAGGTTATATTCAAAATATCAGCTGTGGCTCTAGGCATCTGAACACTCAACTGGAGCTGGAGGCTCTACTTCCAAGATAAGTCACTTGCATAGCTCTTGGCAGGAGGCCTTAATTTCTTACCACGTGGACCTCTTGCATAGGGCTCTTTCAGTGTCCTCATGACTTGACAGCTGACTTCACCAGAGTATGTGATCCAAGAGAGAGAAAGGAAAAGGAAAGAAACCATAATGTATTTTATATCCTGATCTTGGAAGCCAAACACTGTCATTTCAGCCATATTTTTTCTGTAAGAAATGAGTCACTGGATCTAGCCCACATTCAAGGGGAGGAGAATTAAACTCCACCCCTTGAAAGGAGGAGTATTAAAGATTTGTAGACATATTTTAGAACTACTGTATTTCACTCTCTGGCCACAAATTACTTATATTTCTCCCATGTGCAAAATATACTCGCATCCTCCCAAGATCCACAAAAGCCTTTTCCCACTGGAAATCCAGGTTGTTGAAATCCACACTTGGATGAGGCTCCTTGGGTATAGTTCCTCAAGAACAGTTTCTTTTGATGTGAACACCTATAAATTAAAGAGACAAGTTTTCGGGGCGCCTGGGTGGCGCAGTCGGTTAAGCGTCTGACTTCAGCCAGGTCACGATCTCGCGGTCCGTGAGTTCGAGCCCCGCGTCGGGCTCTGGGCTGATGGCTCGGAGCCTGGAGCCTGTTTCCGATTCTGTGTCTCCCTCTCTCTCTCTGCCCCTCCCCCGTTCATGCTCTATCTCTCTCTGTCCCAAAAATAAATAAACGTTGAAAAAAAAAAATTTTAAAAAAAAAATAAAGAGACAAGTTTTCTACTCCTCACACACCCAACATACAGTGATGGGATAGGTATACAATAAACAGGTTTGGAGGTTCCTATTTAATGTTTGTTTATTTTTGAGAGACAGAGTGACAGCGGGGGAGGGGCACAGAGAGGGAGAGACACAGAATGAATCCGAAGCAGGCTCCAGCCTCTCAGCTGTCAGCACAGAGCCCGACATGGGGCTCAAACCCACGAACCATGAGATCATGACCTGCACGGAAGTTGGAGGCTTAACCGACTAACCACCCAGGCACCCCGAGATTCCTATTTAAAAAGGGAGAAAATGAGAGGCACCAAGAAGTCACTGATTTATAGCAGTTCTGATGTTATCTGTATAAATGTTGGCAGTTCCTTGATTAGGACTTAGTTCTCCTTTTGCCCAGGAATGCTGCTCTGTGGCTCTTGTTTCCTCCTCCTAGGCTCTTGGTTTCACCTTGTGAGTTATCTTTTCTTTTCCATGAAAAGTAGTCCAGGTTTGCAGCTGCATAGTTTTCTTAGTCTGTTTCTTGCCACTAGAGTTTTAAGGGCCCAAGAGGCTTCTTTTCATTTAGTTTTGCCTCTGTACCTTTTAATTTAAGCTGGCAGTGTTTTCTTTTTAAAACTTAGAGTCTCTTATGAATGTTACTGAGATTCATGCCTTTAGGAAAAAGCCACACCCACATATCTTTTCCAGAGATCATCTCCTTTCTGCTTTGGGCTTCTGCTGGTATTGCTAAGGGACAGTACTTGTAGTGGGTAGAATTGTATTCTCCACAAAGACATGTTTAGGTCCAGGGGAGCCTGTGTGGCTCAGTTGGTTAAGCTTCCGGCTTCAGTTCAGCTCATAATCTCAGTTTGTGAGTTTGAGCCCTGCGTTGGGCTCTGTGCTGACAGATCAGAGCCTAGAGCCTGCTTTGGATTTTGTGTCTCCCTCCCTCTCTCTTCCTCCCCTGCTCACACTCTGTCTGTCTGCTGTCTCTCTCAAAAATAACTGAAGATGAAAATAAATAAATAAAATAAACAAATTAAAAAAAAAAAAAAAGATACGTTTAGGTCCTGAACCCCACTACCTGTGAATGTGGTATTATTTGGCATAAGGTCTTTACAAATGTAATCAAGTTAAAGGTGAGATCATAATGAGTTAGAGTGGGCCCAAATCCAGTGGCTGGTATTCTTAGAGAAATTTGGATACAGAAGACGCAGGAAAGAAAGGCACATGACAACCAAGGCAGAGATTAAAGTGTTTAAGAGCCAAGAAATAGCAAGGATTGCTGGGAACCACCACAAGCTAGGAGAGAGGCATGGAACAGGTTTTCCCTGAGAGCCTCCGAAGGAACTAACCCTAACAACATCTTGATTTCAGAATCTGGCTTCCAAAACTATGAGAGAATAAATTCCTTTCTTTTTAAGCTGTATATTTGTGGGAATTTGTTATAGTAGTCCTTGGGAACTAATACAACACCCTTAGGCCTCTTGGAAGCCCAGTTGTTTGATTGAATAGTTCTTTAGGCTATGTAGATCTTTCTGAGGCCTTAACAAAGAACTTTGGTAACCACATGCTAGACTTCCTCATTAACCATTTTCTTTGGCCATGCCCTGGATAGATTTGATCTTTGCTTGGAAGCCATTTCTTAATTTTAGTATCATTAACCATCTGGAGAGGCTGGGAATTTTCAGAATTATTTAGTCTTAACTCCTTTTTGTTGAACTATCCTCCTCTTTAGGGGCACCTGGCTGGCTCAATTGGAAGAATATTCGACTCTTAATCTCCGGGTTGTGAGGTTGAGCCTGTATTGGGTATAGAGATTACTAAAAAATAAAATAAACTTTAACCATCTTTCCCTTTAATTTATCCCTCTCTTGCATTTTAATGTAAGCAGCAAGAAGAAGCCAAGAGGTACCTTCTGCCTTCTTGCCTGGACATCTCACTGGCTAGACTGTCACCCAGTTCATGAGCCACAACTTCTACTTTACATATTGTTATTGCTACTACATTACAAGGATCACTTTCCCTCCAGTTTCCAAGATCTTTCTCACTTAAGCTCTCACTCATAACTTCCTCAAAGGCCATGATACTTCTACTGTTTCTTCAAGGCTGTTCAGACTTTCACTGATACTCATCTCACAGTCCTAACTTATACCTTCTTTTGGGTTCTAAATCTACTCCCACATTTCAGGTTTTTGTTACAACAGAACATACTTCTAGGCATCAAAATCTGGATTAGTTATCTATTGCTGTATAATAAATTACACTAGAGCTTAGTGACTGAAGATAAACATTAATCATCTCATAAGTTCTTTGGGTCAGGAATTTGGGACAGCTTAGCTGAGTGGTTCTAGCCCAGTGTCTTATGAGCTTACAGTTAAGACATTGGCTGTTACTGCAGTCATCTGAAGGATCAGCTGAGAATTACTCATATTCTGGCAAGTTAGTTCTGGCCATTGGGAGGCGGCTTCGGTTCCTTATCATGTGGGTCTTCACAGGACTGCTTTACGTGGCACTTTTCCAAGAAAGTGATTTAAGAGAGAGTGAAAGGAGGAAGCCACAATGCTTTTTATGACTAATCTTGAAAGTTGTCCTCTCATACTCCATTGTCAAGAAGTAAGTCACAGTATGGTATTGGTATAAAAACAGACATCTAAATCAGTGGAATGGAATAGAGAGCTCAGAAATAAACTCAAAGGAGCCAAGAATATACAGTGGGGAGAAGGCAGTCTCTTCAACAAATGACATTGGGAAAACTGGACAGCTACATGCAAAAGAATGAAACTGGACCACTATCTTACGCCATACATAAAAATTAACTCAAAATGGATTGTCAGACCTGAAACCATAAACCTTTTAGAAGAAAGTGTAAGCAGTAAGCTCCTTGACATTGATCCGGAAATGATTTTTTTTGGATCTGACTTCAAAAGCAAAGGCGACAATAGCAAAAATAGACAGGCTAACAAACTAAAAAGCTCCTGCACAGCAAAGGAAACCGTCAACAGAATGAAAAGGCAAACTACTGAATGGGAGACAATATTTGCAAATCTGATAAGGAGTTAATAACCCAAATATAGAAAAAACTCATATAATGCAAAAAAGAAAAAGAAAAGAAAACCAATCTGATTAAAAAATGGATTAGAAGACCTGAATAGCTGTTTTTCTGAAGAAGACATATAGATGGCCAACACGTACATGAAAGTGTGCTCAACATCAGTAAGCAGGGAATTGGAAATCAAAACCACAGTGAAATGTCACCTCACACCTGTTAGAATGGCTACTATCGAAAAGACAAGAAATAACAAGTGTTGCCAAGGATGTGGAGAAAAGGAAGCCCTTGTACACTCTTGGTGGGAATGTAAATTTGGTGCAGCCAGTGTGGAAAACAGTATGGAGGTTCCTCAAAAAGTTAAAAATAGAACTACCATATGATCCAGCAATTCCGCTTCTGAATATTTATCTAAAGAAAATGAAAATCTTAATTCAAAAAGATATATACACTCCTGTATTCATTGCAGTGTTATTTATAATAGCCAAGACATGGAAACAACCTGTGTCTGTTGATGGATATGGTTAAAGAAAATGTGTTTTGTATAAATATATACCCCACACACACAGCACACGCCCACAGGAATATTATTTGGCCGTAAAGAAATGAAATCTTGTCATTTTCAACAACATGGATGGACCTTGAGGATATTGTGATAAGCGAAATAAGTTAGATGGAAAAAGACAAATGCCATATGATCTCACTTATATGTGGAATTGTAAAAAAAAAAAAAAAAAAAAAAGGAAAAAGAGAAAGAAAAGCTCATTGATAAAGAGAATAGATAGGTGGTTGCCAGAGGTAGGGGGTAGGGTGTGGGTGAAATAGGTGAAGGAGGTCCAGAGGTACAGACTTCTAGTTATAAAATAAATGATGGGGATGTAATGTACAGCATTGTGACTATATCATCAGGGAAATGCAAATCAAAACTGCAAAGAGATTATAGTTCCTTATACTAATTATAGGTAATTACAGCATTATAGTTAATAATTATTACATATTTGCAAGTTGCTAAGAGAATAGATCTTAAAACTTATAAACACAGAAAAATGTGTTGTAACTATGATGATGAACGTTACCTAGCCTTTTTGTGGTGATCATTTACAATATATACAGACATTGAATCATGTTATACACCTGAAACTAATATAATGTTCATGTGAAGTATGCCTCAATAAAAAAAGAATTAAATTACTAAGTCCATACACTCAAAGGAGGAACATAAAATAATATGTGGGCAATTATTTTAAAACAAACACATAGTCTAGTTATCTACTGTTGAACTTTAGGATAGGGAGAGTCTAATATTGGCTACTGCCATTGTTGTATTGACTGGCCTAATAAGAAAAGTGGGACCCGAGGGGTTAAAAGTATGTATCATATCAATTATATCTCCATAAAGCCAGAGAAAAAAAGAGAAGGGGCACCTGGATGGCTCAGTCAGTTGGGCATCCGACTTCAGCTCAGGTCATGATCTCACAGTTCATGGGTCTGAGCTCCATGTCAGGCTCTGTGCTGACATCTTGGAGCCTGGAGCCTCCTTCAGATTCTTTGTCTCCCTCTCTCTCTGCCCTCTCCCCCGCCACTTGCACGCTGTCTCTCAAAAATAAATAAACATTAAAAAGAAAGAAAGAAAAATGTGCATATTATTCACAAAACAAATCTTTCTTCAGTCTTTTTCTTTTGCCCATATTCTCTGGGTAACAAAGATCAGTTCACCAGTATAAAGGACTGAGTAGATGCGCCATCTTAAGTATTCAGAATGACAAATGTCAGATGTGTGTGT